TGTTAAACAATCCAAAGAAAATAAAGAAGAAAAAGGAGGAGGCTAGGGTTTCATTGATACTACGTAATTAATTGAATGCTAAAAGATGGTTTAACCTAAATACAAAGAGAATATATATAGGCTAATCAAAGGAAACTAAAAAGGACTATTCTACCCTTAATAAATAATAAATAATCCTATATTTCTTAACATCTTCCCTCAAACTCACGATGCGGCAGCTACAAGCATCGAGAGTTTGCCAACTAGAAAATGAAAACGAGAAATAGAATGCGACTTGGTAAAAAAATCTGCAAGCTGCAAAGAAGAAAAAACAAAGGGCAAAGTAATTGTGCCATGCTTGAGATGATGACGAGTAAGATGACAATCGATCTCAATGTGCTTAGTTCGTTCATAAAAAATCGAGTAGTGAGCAATCTGAATAGATCTTTGGTTGTCGCAATACATAGGAGTGGGATGAGAAAGAAAAACTCCCATATCTGCAAGTAACCAACGTAACCAAACAATTTCTTTAGTAGTAGATGCCATAGCACGATATTCTGCTTCGGTGGAAGATTGAGAAACAATAGATTGTTTCTTGCTTTTCTAAGAAATAAGAGAATCACCTAAAAAGATATAGAAACCAGTAACAGACTTGCGATCTGTGGGATCACCGCCATGATCAGCATCAGAGTATGCACGCAGTTCCAAGGAGGAGGTGGATGGAAGTAACAGACTTTGAAAGACTGTACCCCAAAGATATCGCAAAATGCGAAGAACAGCTGTCCAATGAACTATAGTGGGAGAAGCAACACACTGGCCAACAATATGAACATCATATGCAATATTTGGACGAGTAATAGTGAGATATACCAAGCTCTCAACAATAGTACGGTATAAAGTATGATCTGACAAAGGTAAACTATCAGAAGAAGAATACTTCGCGTTAACCTCAATTGGAGTATCAACAATCTTATTATCAGTAAGTCTTGCCCGCTCAAGAATATTTGCAACATATTTCGATTGAGAAAGAAGATAACCTCTGGGTGAGAAGGCTACCTCAATACCCAAGAAATATTGTAGAGAACCCAAATCTTTAATTTCAAACTGTCTAGCTAACTCTGTCTTCAAAACTGAAATACCATCAATATCATCACCAGTAATAATTATGTTATCAACATATAAAGATAGAATAATACGACCTGCATCAGTGCTCTTAACAAAAAGAGCAGAATCATGACTAGTAGAAGCAAATCTAAGGGAAGAGATCACAACAGAAAATTTCTCAAACCAAGCACTAGGTGCTTGTTTGAGACCATACAACGCTTTCTTGAGCTTGCAAACATACCCAGAATCATGTGAAACACCAGGAGGGGGTGCCATATAAACCTCTTCTTGAAGATCTCCATTCAGGAAGTCATTTTTAACATCAAGTTGAGAGATACGCCACTAATGAACTGAAGCTACTACAATAAGAGTACGAATAGTAGTCATTTTTGCAACAGGAGCAAATGTCTCCTCATAATCCATACCATACTGTTGAGAGTATCCCTTTGCAACCAACCTAGCTTTGTATCGCTCAATTGACCCATCAGAATTAGTCTTGATCTTATACACCCAACGACAACCAACAACACTCTTACCAGAAGGTAAATTAACCAAGTCCCAAGTACCAGTCTTATGCAAAGAAAAAAGTTCCTTATCCATAGCTTGCTGCCAAAGAGGATCAAGAATTGCCTCTTTATAGGAAGAGGGCTCAGAGAGACAATGAATAGAAGCTAAAAAGGTAGAAAAGGATGAAGAATAACAAGAATAAGCAAAATCTGGTAACTTTGTAGACTTACGAATGCGTATGGATTGATGTAGAGGCGGATACATAATCTCAGACGGAGCTTGAGGGACCGTAGGAGAAGAGGACGCTTTAGGTGTGCCGGAGAGTAAAGTGTTAGTACATGCGGAATGATTAGTATGAATTGGTTGTAAAGACAACTGGCTAGGAACATGAGAATGGACATTTGAAGTAGTAGGCTCTTGAGAAGACAAACTATCAGAATTGTCAGAAAAAAGATCTATACGAATAAGATTAGATCCAGTCAGACTATGAGTAGTGGATGGAATAGAAAAGAAAGGTATATGCTCGAGAAAAACAACATAATGAGACACATAAAGTTTCTAAGTTATTGGATCAAAACAACGATACCCCTTTTTACCTTCACCATAACCAAGAAAGACACAAATAGCAGATCGAGATGACAACTTGCTGCGTTCTATATGAGGACGAATAACGAAACAAGTACAACCAAAAACTCTAAAGAGAGAATAATCAGGGGTATACCCATACAACTTTTCGAAAGGAGAAAATCCTGAAATATGAGAAGATGAAATTGTATTAATCAAACCTATAGCAGTAAGAACAGTTTCACCCCAAAA